TGAGGCTTCAGTCTAGGGGGTGTCGTCACGTGGATTTGATCTAACGGTCACCATGTCAATTAGATTAGCATAAATAAACCCCTCATTGTATAGAGAAATAGGGGATTTTTGGGATATGCACTGGGCTTGGCTTGATCTTGAATAAGACAACCCATATTAAATTCACTACATATTGTAAGATATTCTCTTTTATCTATCATTCCACATATTCCATTATAAAACAGATATTCATTTTAGGAAAATCGATCTACCTTTTGTTGATAACGCATGGGCTGTTTAAATAAAACTGCAGGAGCTTGAACAGTTGTGTCTCTTGTCGGAAAGCACCTCCCGCGTTCTTTCCAAATGTACTACCTCTCATGTTCCGGTAGAAACGCTTCGAATCAATGCTTGGCGCAACAAGAGTGGGCCCGGTATCTGTTGAGTTCATTTTTTGGGATCAACAGATTGGTGTCGTCTGTGGAAATATCTAACATTTGACCATGAAGCACGCGTGGAAAAAGAAAAGATACGTTTCCAAGAGAGTTTTTCATCCTTGAAAAATGAATATTCTTGCAAAAAGGAACCAAAAAAGAGCTTGAAATCCCCTGAGGAAATGAACCAAGTGGTATATCACGTGACCAAGAAATGAGTCCACTGACGAAAATACCCCTAGAAGGACGAGGAAACACCTTGAAGAAGGAGAACTTTCACGAGATATTCCGATAACCCAACCGAGACCTTCAATACGCAGACGATGAGGTCCCAGGGACGGAAGTGGACTTGCAGCCAGGTTAACTAGAGAAATGGCAACAATGGTTGCCAACATGAAGAATATCGCTCAGCAGAACCAAGCCATGCATGAAATGTTGATGCACATGCAAGAACACAGAGGCTATCAGGGTCCACAACATACTGCTCCCGAAGACGTATTCCTCGACGCTCGAACTTATTACCATGAGGAGGAGGTCCAGAGCCAAATGACAGGACATCGCCCTTACGGAACAGAAGCTCCACAAGAAGTCGAGGACGATATGGATGCGTCTAACGATCATGCATCAGAAAGGTTGCAGGAAGAGAGACCCAGAGGTCAGAAAGTTTCTTCGACGGGATAAGTCCAAGAATGCCTAGGAATAGGTGAGCCAATCTACCTCAAGCACCTAACAATAGGTATGATGATAAGGTACCTCTTGTCCATCCTCCTAAAAATAGGCGTGAAAGGAGGGAACAAGCCAGAAGCGAAGCTAGGACTTCTCGACCAACTCCCCTAATCAATCCAAGAGAAGAAGAAAACTCTGATGAGCCTCAGAGATCTTGTGAGCTCGATAATGATAATGAGCACTCCCCTTTCTTCGAGGCCATAAGGAGTGTACCCATGCTCAGCCACTTTGTACTCTCAAAAATCCAAAATTACGATGGGAGAGGTGACCTTGCCAAACACATGGACAATTACAGACACACATGAATCTGAAGGGGGCCACTCCGGCGATGAAATGTAGGGCCTTCCACTTAACATTAAGTGGAGGGGCAGAAATCTGGCACGCCGGCTACCAGATGGGAACATCCGAAGTTGGCCAGAGTTCAAGAAAACTTTCTTGAAACGCTTTGCAACCAGCTAAGAGTTGGCCAGAGTTCAAGAAAACTTTCTTAAAGCTCTTCACAACCAGTAAAGAGGGGGAAAGACCCATCCAAAAGTTGCAAGATATGAGGCAACAGCAAGGTGAGTCGCTGAAAAGTTTTACTTCACGATTTGCCAATGAAATGACATATTGTGTGCAAGTCACGGACAAGGAAGCCTTGATTGCCCTGAGAGGAAGCCTAGATATGAACTCTTTTTTCTGGAGAGATGTGCAAAATAGAGACCCCGCCACCTATGATGCGCTGTTAAAGATGATAAGGAGCAAGATCTTGAAGGAGGAACTCAAAGATCACAGGAACAGGGTCAGTCAAGGTCTGCCACCTCCGCAAATGTGAAGGGGAAGACGTCCAACCTCCCACTTGATGGACAATCAAGCCCCTATGAATCATGGACAAGAGCTTGCTACCGCAACACTCAGTGCAGTGCCAACACTGGCCTACGAAGAGGTCAATCCTGGCGCTGAAATGTGCCAGCGTCAGCCCTACCCAAGGAATCTACAAAGGGGGCGAGGTAGGGGATGAGGTGTTCAACCTAGAAATAGGGGAGAAGCACCGCAATACTGCTCATATCACCAATCTCACGGACATCGGACAGAGGATTGCCGAGATGCCATGAAATTTCCCCCGATGAATGCTCTGAACAGGCAAAACCAACAAGCCCGGAGCAACGAGCAGCGTCAGCCCAATAGGAACGACCCTCTAAGAGGAAGGGACAAAGACGCTGAAGAACCCAGGCAGGGTCAGAAGCAATATAGAGGCCCTGTGCCAGGTAGTGAACACGAGTCTATTCGAGAAATCGACACAATCATAGACGGTCCTCACGTGGGTGGAGATTCCAGGAATTCTCAAAAGAATTACGTCAGGGAAGCAGTCTATCCAGCTATGGCAATCTACATAGTAAACCAATCCCCAAGTAAGAAGGTTTTACCTCCTATCATTTTTACACATGAGAACACTATGGGAGTGCATTATCCACACTGTGACGCCTTAGTAATAAGGGTCGTCGTGGCCCGTAATGGCCTGAAACGAATGTTAGTGGATAATGAAAGCTCTGTCAATATCCTATTTGGAACCACATTTGACAAAATGAAGGTCAGTCATGAGCTTACCTCGGTAAGTTCCCCCTTGTATGGTTTCACTGGAGACAACGTTGTTCCCAGGGGCAAAATCACTTTAGCAATAGAGATGGGGGGAAGAACCCCTAATTGCTCACCATTTTATAGAATTTCTAGTGGTTGACAATCGATTTGCCTATCATGGGGTCCTTGGAAGACCTGTACTAACAGACTTATGTGCAGTTACCTTAATTCACCACTTATGCATGAAGTTTCCTACCGAGAATGGTATAGCCACGGTTCGAGGAAATCAGAGAGGCGCCGGGAATGCTACTCAAATTCCTTAAGGAAAGCCGAACCAAGGACACTAGTCATATTCACTGACATGGATGTAGATGACCTCCCTAAACAAGGGAGCGCCCCTGAACAAGGAGAAGACGTCCTTATGACCGAAGCTCTTGAAAAAGAAGCAGTTACTGAAGAAGC